CGTCGAGATTAGACACAGATCCGCCCAGTCGGAATGCGAGTATGTGGAAAGATTGCGCTTCGAAGGCCAGTCGACGCATTCGGCTGGTGTGGGACAACTCAACCGCCGCTTCCCTCATGCAGAGGAGCCCTGTTTCAAACACCTCCTTAATCGATTTTCACGCTGGCCTACCTATCATTTCGTCTGAGAAGGCGGCCGATGACTCAGCGCGGAGCTTTCGTCCGTCACGTGAGGAAAAAACGACAAAACACCAAAATCCGCCAAAAAAACACTAAAAACTACGACAGGTGACGATGAACACATCTCACAATTTGTCCGCTTGTCAGGCCACCTGAATGTGGACGCCAAAGAGCACCAAGCGCCACGCCATCTCAGTCCATCCGACACGAACCAGCCGCCTGAACAATGTTGCGGCAATCACGCAAAGTCGGGCCCGACTCGCCACGACGCCACGCCGCTGCTGCAGCCAAAGCCGCGCCGGCTCGCCAGCCAATCACGACGGCCCGTCAGCTCAGCGCCACCGACCGATCGACCGACCGACAGACTGACAGACCGACAGACCGACTGCCGACGTCGTCGCTGCTGCCAGTCGCGTCGAGGCACAGCCGCGACTCGGCCGCTGCCGCCGGAGGCCCTCACTTCACAGCCGAACTGTCTCACTCTTTCTCTCCCTCTACACACGCACACTCGTCTACTCAAACGATAACCGATTTGTCGCTGTGTCGGCCGTTGACAGCCTTTGTCTGTCGCGTTTGAGGTGAAGAAAAAGCACACACACACATATAGACATCCAAACAGAAAATTGCCCTTTCCGCCAACCCTGCTCGCTTTTGGGGCCCCGACTGTTGATCTGCCGATCAGATCCCCGCCTCTGGCCCGCTGAACAACTGTCAATCAACGCGGAACAAATCACCGACAGACGTACACACAGACAACAGCCAGTATGATCAAATACACACACAAAAACGCACACAACACGCCTTTCTAAGCGTACATACAAATAGGCATATCCAAAGACAGACTCTTACAAACACACGCATATAAGTGGATTTGCAAGCCCACAAAAAATATAAACGCGCCGTAGCCACTCCTTCGTACGTACACAGTGTAATGGACTCACAGGCCGACAACTAGGCGCAAAGACTAACAGGCCAGCAAGAGGAATAAGCAAACGATAGACAGACAGGCGAGCAGGTGGCGGAGCACGTGACCGAGGGCGCATGTGCGTGCAAAGGGTAGCCGCCTAGGGGCTCAGATGAGGCGTGAAAGTGCGTCCCAGCCTGAAGGATGCAAAATGTAAAGTGGACTTTTCTGTTAGGCGAACGGAGCATTTTATCGATTTGTATCAGTGGCCCGCATCGATCAGGTGTCGGTTTGAGTTGACCGGTCGAATCGTGTCGCCCGAGCCGGTTTCACTTGTCTCGTCGTCTGAGCCGGCCCAACGGGGCGAATCGACCGTGACTGTTTGAACTGCGCCAGCGCCAGTTTCGTGCTGGTCAGTTTCGCAAGTGAAACGAACAAATCTGCCGAGTCGAACAGGATCTGAAATGAGAGGAGATTTTGTGCTGGAAAGCCTGTTTCGCCACGATTGCCTGCATCAACTTCCATTTTGTCAGAGTCTGCAAATGGGGTGATGAATGGTGCTTTTTCTGTCAAGCGCAGTCAGGCATTCTTCGCCTTTTTAGCGCAAACCTGGCCTCCCCATCTTCTGGCCGCGAGGGAAGCGCCTCTACACAGACCCGATTTCCTGCCTTCCTCACGACGCATCGTCTCTCCGTCCTAACGACGCCGGAAACACGGCATCTGATCCTCCTGCGCCCGCCACAGCCGCAGGCCAATCGACTCGGCGGCTGGTCCTTCTCTCTTTCACACGCAATCTGGCAATAGGGCCTATGACGACCAAGACGGTGCGACCTTCGGTTTGGCCGCATTCTCCATTCCTTGTACAAAAGTGGTTTGACCGTTTTCGCAAGTTGGCCTTGTTGTCAAGGCGAGCAAGGTGGACGCGGCTCGTTGAAACTCCTCTGCTATGGCTGTTATGATAACTCACAACGCCGGACCGTGGACTAGACAAACTACCAGTCCCTCCGCCGGTGTCCTAGTTGGCATCGTCAGTCTTTTTTGTTATTCTTAGCACAAAACTACAACCCGTCAAAGTGACCAGTTGAGTCAATGCCTTGACAACTGTCTGCCCAACAATTGTGTCACCACTGCCCATCTTCAGTTACATCCACCTACCCGCTTTCCCCATAGCTCACTCCATCTTTATCGAAGCCACCAAATTGTTTATTTTTCGTGTGTAAATAGAGTTTCGAGACATCTCATAAATTGTTTATCTTCAAAATTGGCGGATACAAGGAGGGCATAGGATGGGGGACAGGCAGACGATCCAGGACAGAAAGAGGAGTTGAAGTCTAAGAATGTACCAGGTCCATGGTACTGGGCTGAAAACCATCAGATCAGATGACTTGGGTCAAATTGCGTTCATCAAGGTTGCCTTGGCAATACGACCAAGTTTCAGAAACAAAATAAAAGCAAAGGTATTAAGACCAAGATGGTGGGGTCTTTTGTGTGGTCGCAGTCTCCTTTCGTTGAATAGAAGTTGTTTGAACTTGTTTTCGCAACTCGGTCGTATTGGTAGGAAGACTTAAAGAAACGCACCTAGTCCGGAGTCCATTGTATACATGATCATTTCCAGAGTAGGACCGTGGACATGGTACATT